CTGATTAAACTTGATTTCAAAATTAATATTAATTGCTATATGTCAAGGAGATCTGGCAGCTCAGTGGGTAGTGGGTAAGGCACTTGGCTGCTAACCAGAAGGTCTGCGGTTCAAACCCACCAGCTGCTTTGTGGAAGAAAGATGAGGCAATCTACTTCCATAAAGATTGACAGCCTTGGAAAGACAATGGGGGTCGCTGTGAGTCAGAATCAACTCCATGGCAGTGTTTTTTTTTGTTTGTTTGTTTTGTATAATTTATCAACAAAATAAATATTTTTTGTCAGGGACAGACTTAGCAGAAAGATAAATCTCAAGTATGTTCAGTAAGAAAAGAGACTGAAAATACTACCAAAATACCAAGCTGAGTTAGGGACAGAATCAACTACCTGTCTGTAGTAGCAGAACATTTAAGAACATTTTGTTCTTAATCTCTGCTGATAAAAGTAGTGATTTTTAGAATGTATTTAAAGAGGTTAAAAGTTCAAGTGAATATCTACGACCTATAATTTTTTTACATAGTTCCTCTGAAACCAAATTTGACATTTATGTAAAATTCCCAATAAAGATTATACAGTAAAAGTTCACTTAATTTTTAAGATAACAAATGATATTTGTTTTCATTATTCCATGTTGTTGTTGTTATGTACCATCGAGTCGGTCAGACTCATAACGACCCCTCCTTGGGTTTCCGAGGCAGTGTCACTATGGAAATAGATTGACCAACCTTCCTTTCAAGGAGCGGCTGCTGGGTTTGAACTGCCAGCCTTCTGGTTAGCAGTCAAGTGCCTTAGGCACTATGCTACCAGAGCTCCTCATTTTCCCATAGATTCATGCAAATAACAAAACAAAACCTGCTGTTGAGTCAATTCCAATTTACAGTGACCTATAGGACAGAGCTATGCTGGCCTAGTGCCTAAGACACTTGATTGCTAACCAGAAGGCTGGCAATTCAACCCCACCAGCCACTCCTTGGAAGGAAGGTTGGGCAATCTACTTCTGTAGTGATACTGTCATGGAAACCCAAGGAGGGGTTGCTATGAGTCAGGGTCGCTATGAGTCAGGTCCTACTCTACGGCAGTGTATTTGGTTTTGGTTTGTTTATAGGACAGAGTAGAATTGCTCCATAGGGTCCCAAGGCCCTACATCTTTCCCCTGTGGAGTGGCTGGTGGCTTAGAACCGCCAACCTTTTTGTAAGCAGCTGAGTGCCTAACCGTTTAGCCACCAGGACTCCTTCTTCTACATATAGTGAACATTAAGTACATGGTATTTATTAGTTTATTTTTATAAAAGTCTCCTTTATATTGGATTTATATTGCATCACATTATGACTTAGATTTACTCATTCTTTGTGGAATTATAAGGTATTATTAACATGTCAAAAAATAGATAATGCAACTAAGGTCCAGAAAGTTAGTCCATTCCCACAGTTGTGCAGATATTCAGACTTCTGGTGCTTGATTTGCTATTATGTATTATCACACATATTAGTTAATAGTTCATATTCATACTTGTTGTTAGGTGCCATCCACTCAGTTCCAATTCATAGCAACCCCATGAACAACAGAATGAAACGTTGCCCAGTCCTGCGCCATACTCACAATTTTTGCTGTGCTTGAGCCCATTGCTGCAGCGACTGTGTCAGTCTATCTCATTGAGGGTCTTCCTCCCTTTTTTTTTGCTGACCCTCTACTTTAACAAGCATAATATCCTTCCCCTGGGACTGGTCCCTTCCAACAACATGACCAAAGTACAAGAGACAAAGTTTTGGCCATTCTTGCTTCTAAGGAGCTTTCTGACTGTACTTCCTCCAAATAGATGTGATTATTGTCTAGCAGTCCATGGTTTATTCAATATTCTTCACCAACACTACAATTCAAATGTTCCACTCTTCTGTGGTCTTCTTTATTCACTTTCCAGCTTTCACATGCATGAGGCTATTAAAAATACCATGGCTTGGGTTAGGAGCACCTTAGTCTTTGAAGTGACATCTTTGCTCCTTAACACTTTAAAGACCTCTTTTGCAGCAGATTTTTCACAGTGTAATACGACATCTGATTTCTTGACTGCTGCTTTCATGGGCTTTGATTGTGGATCCAAGTAAAATGAAATACCTGACAACTTCAATAATTTCTCCATTTATCAAGATGTTGCTTAATGGTCCAATTGTGAACATTTTTGTTTTCTTTATGTTGAGGTACAATCCATATTAAAGGCTGTTGTCTTTGAACTTCATCAGTAAGTGCTTCAAGTCTTCTTTACTTTCAGCAAGCAAGGTTGTGTCACCTGCATATCTCAGGTTGTCAATGAGTGTTTCACTAATCCTGATGCTGCATTCTTCATGTAGTCCAGCTTCTTGGGATTATTTGCTTAGCATACAGATTGAATAAATATAGTGGAATGATACAGCTTTAACACACATCTTTTCTGATTTTAAACCATGCAGTCACCCCTTGTTCTGATCAAATGACTGCCTCTTGGTCTATGTACAAGTTCCAAATATGCACAGTTAAATGATCTGGAATTCCTATTCTTTGCAATATATTCATAGAGACATAGTTGTTTCTTATAATAATAACCTACATTTGATAAGGACTTCGAGAGGACATATGGTTTTGTATTTTTATAAGCTTTCCCAAAACTCACTGCTACGGAGTCAATTCTGACTCACAGCCACCCTATAGGACAGAGTAGATGTGCCCCACAGAGTTTCTAAGGTAAAGTTTCTTTAGGGGAGATTGCCCCAGATTTCTTTAGTGGAGCTGCTGGTGGGTTCACACTACTGACCTTTTGGTTAGCAGCCAAATGCCTTAATCACTGCACCACCAGAACTCACACTCATTAATTCTTCTTTGATAATTACATTTTGCCTCTCTTCTGGGGAACCTCCCACCCTGCTTTGTTGTATCCACTAATTCCCCTAGTGTAAATATTTCCACCACAGCTGATTTCAAGCTATTAATATGAGTCAACTGGCTCACAAATGCTTGAAAATTTAACACTTGAAGAGTTGATCCAAATCACCTCCAGCATACCACTGCAGCTTACATCACACTTTCTGAAGACAAACTTTCCCATAAGACTGCATTTCTGTGAGCCTATGATATTTCTTAGGTGTGAGCCACTTTGGGGTCAATTTTGTAATAGAAAAAAAATTTAAATGTATCAGATTTTATAGATCATGAGATACTTTCATGTAAAGTGCACTTTGCCATGTTAATGTTGTTAGCAGTTGTCAAGTCTACTCCAATTCATGTTACCTCCATATGTGCAGAATAGAATCATGCTATAAAGTTTTCCTGGCAGTATTCTTTTGTCTTCTGAGGTGCCTTTGGGTGGTTTTAGACTGTCAAGCTTTCAGGAAGTAATAAAGCGCTTAACTATTCACACCACTCAGGGATATTAAACCTCTACAATAACACCATGAGTTAGGCAAATGGCTCATCTATTTTCCCATTTTACTGATCAGAAACTGAGGCATAAAAGGGGTTAGAATTTAGCTTATGAATTTGGCCTACATAATTTGCTAGACTCAGTTTAAAATAAAAATGTAGGACCCCTAGTTAAAAATTTAAGAATTTCAAGATGGTGACAGCAGAGTATAAACTAAATGAAAAGCACTTCCAGGCACAAGGCCTTGTGCAACTGCACAGGTCTTACACCCATGAAACCATTCCTGGGTCTATGTCTTTCGGCTGGTAAGTGGAAGATGTGGGGTTTAAATTCAAATCTTGAGTCCAAATATGCTTACATTTTATTGCACTGTTTCCCTGCTAAGCAAAGAATCTGTAAATAAAATATTGATATTTATATGTGGTGTTTTTAATTTAAATTATTAGAAATATATATTTTGCATTGCTGACAATTTTCAAATAAACATACACAGAAACATATGTACTTGATTCACTTAATGACTCCCATGTTGCAACATCTATACAGTATCTTAGATCACAGGTACATTCAATCTTAATTTCTTATTTATATTACATTTCCTGTAGGGAGCATTAGAAAGAAATCTTGCCAGAAACTTATTCAGCTACTTATATTACATATTTTTTCACTTTTAAGACAAATGCTGGAAAAAGGCTATAATGAATTATTTCATGTGTTCCAATTTTAATTCTTCTTCTTCACCTTCTCTCTCCAGCTGCCTTGTTCTTTTACTAACTTAGGTCATTCTATATGTCTTAGGGATTTTTATAAAAACATACCCACTTTTATCTCTCCTTACACTTTTATCTTTCAGCTTTCAGCAATATTCCAATGTCTTTCTTCTCAGAAAATATGGGCCTAAATCCCATATTTACAGTGCAATTAACAATTTTTCAAAGTGCTGAGCTCAGTCTAATGAGTTTTATTACTTAGGTTCTCACATTCAAAAATTGTATCCCATGAAATAAGTGGTGATATATGATAATGAAGTAATGAAATATGAAAAAAAAACCCTCTTTTATAGAAAATAACATTTAGAAGTTGCATTATGCAGTTTTATGTAGCATCTGAATTCTTCTATTAAATATTTGATGAGTTCAGGGAAAACAGAAAACTCCTCTCAATAAACAGCTGAATAATACTTCAGATTTAATCTATGCAAACAAGCAGCCAATAGTTTATCATGAATTATAACATCTATGCAAACAACTGGCTGATAGTTCATTATGAATTATAACCTAGAAGCTGAGATTCAATATAATATTGTTCTCAACATTTCTATTTACCTGCTGACTAGTCTAAGCTATTTAATTTTAATTTTTGTATAACAGTGAAGCCGAGAGGAAAAATATTGTAGCAGGGTTCCCTAGAAATGTGGAAAAATGCTGCAAGTAAGTAAGTTAGTACACATATATGGTTTAAGATGGTTTCCAAAACATTTAAAATTTAATTTGTGCTAATGAGAAATGAAAATAAGTATACCACCAAATAAGTGGAATCTCTACATTTGGCAATGAAATGAGAGCATTTCAACCATACGTCACTTACCCATCAGTCATAGTATTATTACCTGCTCAGATCTGTTCTGGTGCTGGTGTTGGTAGTGAGAAAAGGCATTGCTGGAAGAAGCAATTTCATCCTTCTCAAATTGTCTCTTCATCCTGGCCAAACCACCAGGCACAGTGCATGTTTCTGATTCCTCCATTATCTAAGGTAATTGAAGAGAAAGGAAGAGTCAGCTTTATATTTGGCTCGGGCTGGAGTTCTCAAACTTTTTAAATTGGAGATATTTTTTATGATTGGTATTACAAAGCAGTATCAATATACACAGTTTTTCATCAGGCTTTTACCCAAAATTCTAATAAAAATAATCTCTCCTGTTCACGTTGTTTTATCATTAATAGCCTTTTGATATAAAGTCAGAAAAATCATCACAATATTGCATTAATTCTCCTTATCTCAGATAAATTTTTGTATCTGGATTCTATTCTAATACCCATAATTCTGTGTATTGTTATAGACCAAACCAACCCATTGCCATTGTGTTGATACTGACACACAGTGACCCTATAGGACAGAGTAGAACTGCCCCTTGGTTAGAAGTTGGTTAACTTTGGTCAGACCAATTAGAATGTATACCTACAATAATAAGTTAGATCTATTAGAATGTATTTCTATAATAATACTCAGAGTAGTAGGTATTAGAATAATAGATCCAATTTTAACTCAAATTAAGGTTGTCATTAAATTCCAAATAACCTATACAGATAGCACTTTGTTAAGAAGAGTTATTAAAATCACTTTGGCTTATTCCAAAATGTATTTAAATCATTAAGGATGAACAAAATAAAGATCTTCAGAACATCTGTTTTGCAAAAATATTAACATCACAGAATATGGGGAGGTATTAAATGAGAGGTACGTAAATACACACAAAATCACCTAGCACAATACCTTAACTAGATGTTATTATTACTGATGTTATAAAAATATTAACTGATGTTATAAAAATATTAAGATCAGTAACAACGTCTAGTTAAGGCATTGTGCTAGGTAATTTTGTGTATATTTATGTCTCTCGTTGAATACTTCCCCATATTCTGTGAGATGAGAAAACTTATCATCCTCATTTGAAAATGAATAAATTGAGATTTTGAGAAGTAAGGCAACTTGTTAAGTCCTCATAGATAGGATGTGAGTGGAATTTGAACCCACATCTATCTGTCCTAGTTATTTACCTCAAAGGACAGGCAGAAAAACAGGAGCATACTACTCTGGGATTGGCATACCCCAGGACTCAGTTCTGAGCACTGGCATGTGAGAGACAAGGGGCTTTAATGTTACAGCAGGTCTAGTCTAGCTTGTCATTTTACACATGAGAACACTGATTTTGATAGGTATCCCTGGGAGCAACTTGAAAAACACATGAGGAATCCTATCTGGATTTATGCCCCCTTGAAAAGTACAAAAGTACCTCAGGACCTTTGGTTTTGATGATTTAGCATACTCCAGAGCCCAGGGAATATTCAAGCCCAGATGGGATGACAACTCTCAAGCAGACAGGCCCTGTGCCAGCCTGCCAAAACAGGTCTCCTAAGGTCCAACCCAGTCCTGATATAACCTTGGAAGCCTTAAGACCTGAGAGTAACTGGTGGCCCATGAGTGAGGTTACCAAATCATGGGCATTGAACCTTTTGGGGTCCTGGAATCTTTAACCAAATATATTGTTTCTCAAACAGAGGGTTTCTCATATTCAAAATATTATATAGTGAATTAATACAGTATCCATGTTATCTGAATTACTAGCATACACTCAAATGGTTGCTTTTCCAAGTTCATAATCTTTCCTCCTACCAGGGACTATCAAATCTTTCACTGGTTCTACAGTAAGATGAGGGGATCTGGTGGCGTAGTGCCTAAGGCATTTGACTACTAACCAGAGGCTGGTGGTTCAAACCTGCCAGCCACTCCTTGAAAGGAAGGTTGGTCAATCTACTTCCGTAGTGATACCGCCTTGGAAACCCAAGGAGGGGTCGATATGAGTCGGATCTGACTCAAGGGTAGTGAGTTTGGTTTTGGTATAGTAAGAGGGGAGAAGACAGTACCTTAATAATTCTTAATAATTCTATAACAAACTTCCAATGTAAATCTTGGCTAATTACTGTATTTGATACATGGTAAGGTCACAAGAAAGTATGGCATCACTTTTGAAATTTAAGACAGACCAAAGAAAGGAAAGGGTGAGTTAAGGCCATGTTATTTCTTGCCCCTTTCCTGACATGTAATTTACATAAATGACATTCCTGGAAACATCATATATAGACAGTATGTAAGTATTAAATTGTACAAATGAAATTAGATTTTGGTAAACAAATTCAACAGCTGAAAACAGTGCCCAAATTATATGCAAATTATCCGGTAACCCTCAGTATTACACTAGAGACTGGATACATTCCTATCATGTGCACTTTCACAAAAAAAAAGAGAAAAATCAGTTTGTATAATGGACAGGTTGCCTGTCAGTTACCAGATGGTTACCACCATTGTGGTTTAGAATCAGACCACTTAACACATGCAAAGATGTATATAGTTGATTCTATTTAATAGTAGTACAGTTCTTACCCCTCTAACACTTGGTAACAGTGTAGTACTTATGCCGTTGCTGCTGCCTCAAGTGAGACTGGCCCTATGAGCTGTAGTTTAGTAGTGACATTTATAGCTCAATTAGTAAATGAAGATTTGCATATGTGATATGGCAGGCAGTCTGTGACTATGCACTGGGGGATTCTGCCTTGGTCAGATGGGAACACAGCTATGATTTTGCCTTGTTTAGCACTATGTTCTAAATATCCTAACTGACAACCAGTTGCTATCTAGTGGACTCCAACTCATGTGTATCAGAGTAGAACTGTGTTTTGTAGGGTTTCCAATGACTGATTTTTTAGAAGTAGATCACCAGGCCTGTCTGAAGTGTCTCTGGGTGGGTTTGAACCTCCAATCTTTCAGTTAGCCACTGAGTGCATTAACAGTTTACATCTCCCAAAGGATGTACAGATGACCACATATCTTAGATTACTTGGTTTTGAATCTTTTTATCCTTATTCTAATTCTGTGTTTCTTATTGTGTGGGTCTGAAACAAGGCTTGGGAACCTAGGTAAAAATATAAACATCAACTTCCTTTACAAAGTACTGTCCTTGGGCTATCAGGTAAAATGGAAATAGCATAATTTTGGGGAGATTGGACAGACAGCGATTCTAATCCAAGTTTTGTCATTTAAAAACCTTGGGCAAGGATCAGAGAACCTCAGTTTTCTATCTTTATAAAATGGAAATAACATTATCTTCCTCACAGATTTCTTTCTTTCTTCCTTTTTCTTTTTTTGTAATAAATAAATAAAATTGCACAGCATAGAATATGGCATTTAATTAATTCCTCAACAGGGGTTACTTCTCCTCTCTCTTCCAGGGGCTTCTGCAGACAGCTGCCATTTCATAGTCATGACTTTCATGTAGGTTCAACCAAATGCCATCTGGCTGAGTCTAGGACAAGGAGAAGCTGATCATTGTCAGCTATTTACATGTGATGGAAATATTACTGGATCAGTGTGGGGCAAAATCAGTGATTTCCAGTTTTTGCACTTAAACTATTTAAGGTAATCATGTAGACAATGACTTAGTCACAAGCAGTTTTCACAGTTTTTTTTCCCCTCAGAATTAAATAAGCATGTGAGGCAACTGACCAAACAAGTCAGTTATTTTGCATTTCTTTAAATATCTTTATATTTCCTCTGAGAAAATGTATGTGCCTTCCCTTCTCACAGAATGTATTTAGCATCAAACCAAATAGTAGGATATTTTGTTGGGCTAGAAATGCTTTCTTGTATTAGAGGAAAGAGCTGAATATAGCTAAAATAGTACTGGGCTGAAGAGACGAGGAACCTAACTTGGCTTTGTTGTTGATGTTGTTAGGTGCCGTCGAGTCATTTCTGACTCATAGCAACCCCATGCACAGCAGAATGAAACGCTGCCTGATCCTGCGCCAGCTCCACGATCCCTGCTATACTTGAGCCCATCATCACAGCCACCGTGTCAATCCATCTCGTTGAAGGCCTCCCCCTTTTCATCGACCCTCCACCCTACCAAGCATGACATACTTCTCCAAGGAATGGTCCCTTCTGACAACATGACCAAAATAGGTGAGACCAAGTCTGGCCATTCTCGCTTCCAAGCAGCATTTTGGGTGCACTTCCTCCAGGACAGATCTGTTAGTTCTTTTAGCAGTTCACGGTACTTTCAGCATTCTTCGCCAGCACCACAACTCAAAAGCATCA